TAATGTGTATTTGTAAGGAGCGCTTTGAGAGTCATTGAAAAAGCGCTATAATAAATATAAGGATTATTATTAATGGACCTTAATCTGTGAACAGACTTGGACAGTTACAGTTCCTTTGATTTTTTTTTCCTAGTTTTAACACGACTAGAGTGAGATCTTTTTTCAGCTTTGGGAACACATCAACTCAAGGCCTACAGTGCGGTGCTCATAAGCAGTGATGCTTGATGATGGACAGGCCCTCCCAGCAAGTGGCGTCCGACAGCTAGCCCCCCCATGGATTACTCTCAGAACCACAGCATCCTACCTGGTTGTCTGTCAGGTGAAGTATTGTCTTTTTATAGGAGATGATGTCAAAGTCCACAGCCTTCCACACAGCATGGCCCAGGAGATCTCCCACCTTCTTCTTCTTGGTGATGACAACCAGATAATTGCCTAGAAAAAAAGGGGGTGTGAAAATGTGCTGCAAATCTCAATACACCAAATGATGCCACCAAACGTTTCAGCAGGAATTTTGCCTACTGAACTCACCTGCCACCAAACGTATGGTCCCCATGAGGCCACATATGGGCCGGCTGTCAGCCCCTGCAGGGACGTCCCTCTTCACTGAGGACACAGCAGGGACACAGCAAGGGTTAGAGACTGAACTCAGGAGACTGAACTAATAACCAAGTCATCATTGTGGAATCACCAAATTACTTAATAGTTTTATTGATTAAATGTATAGAAAAGTCATCATAGTATCAGCTTTTTCTACAATCTGAAGTCTGTGTGTGTGTGTGTGTGTGTGTGTGTGTGTGTGTGTCTGTGTGCAGCGATCAGTATGTTCTCATTCAATGATACCCCCCCCCCCATCTGTGCTTACCTGTGAGGGTCATCTCTGTGGACACTCTGTCCACAGCCAGCACCTCCTCAGAGCCCTCATCACACGCCTCGATGTAGAACTTCTCCTGGGTGGTGCGCCTGATGAGACACACACACTGTTTTAAACTACAACACTGAAAGGGATCATCACACGCAGCACAAACACCAGCACCAGAATCAGAATCAGAATCAGCGGGGACATTTACAGCGTTAAAACCAAAGTGACATAGCAGGTAAAAAAGGCAAGCAATAATAAAGAGTAAGCCAGCATGTGAAATATAGATAAAAGCAAACAATGGTGATAAAATAAAGAAGGTAAATACTCATCCATGGCTCAAAATGAGTAGCAGCATTTCAATAGCTAAGGTTTTGAGATATTACAAAAACATTTTTGCACATAAAAATGATTATGATCAATGCACAGTAGTTACAAAAAAAAGTGTTTGTAGTGTCATTATATTATAATTATTATATCATATTAAAGGGCTCATTGCAGGATATGGCACAATATTCCAACAGGCTTGTATTGTGAAATCTACCAGGGGGCCAACACAAACACCTCCAGCACCACCAGCACAAACACCACCCACCACAGCAGCAGGGCTCTGTGTAAGTACGTCAGTAATACATATATGGAAGTATCTGTCTAACTCTGAGCTGCTGCAGCAGTGGAGCAGAGGTGGAGCAGAGCGGCAGTGAAGGTGTAGCCTCACCACAGTAATGTAACTGGTCCAGCTCGCCGATGCTAAGAGCTCATTAGAAGCAAACTGAGGCGGCAGTGACGCTGCTGCCGGGGCCGCACCGTGCCAGCACCCCACATACCTCACGGTTTACACAAAGTAAAGCTGTGTGCTGCTAATAAACTGATCCAGAATACTTACAGGTTGAAACTCGAATAGGTGCCGCCATCTTTCCTCCCGTCTGACTCAGTGACGTGTCACCGACACAGCGGCTACTTCCGCCTTTAACTGTGTGTCTGTCGCGCACAAACGCTAGATGGCGCTGTGTCATGCAAAGTCCCGTTACATGAACAGAAGTGTGCGGATAACCTATGGAAGTAATACATTGAATACAAATCAATCAAAACCAAGAAATGTATTTCTTGTAAATCATATTTGAAATATTACATTTAGATTTTGTAATATATTTTCTCAAACCTTCTTTCATCTTTTTTTATTATTTGTTGTTTGTGTCTTTACTGCATGTGTAGCTGCGTATATAATGTATGAGGTTTATTCATTGTATTTTTCTTGAAATAAAAAAAACCGAAAATTAATAGTTGTGATTGCACTGAACAGAAGAATAAGATGTGGTACAACAGGGTTTATTTACTCGGCCCAAATCCGTAAATTGTGTAAAAAAGCAAAGTGCCCTGAGCACCGAAATAAAATGAGCTGGTCGAAACAGATGGTAAAATATAAATGTAACCTGATTACTTTCCGTACTTTTGGATTACCCTTAATATGAAATCACATACTACAGAAAAACGCTACTTTTAAATGTATTGGGCCAGAGATTATAAGCTCACCCACAATATGTAAAAGACATATAAATTCAGCAACAGAATAAAAAAAGAAAAAGAAGGAACCAATGAAAGGTGAAAACCATAAAACATTTTAGGAAATAGGTTTATAGATTCACCAACTATACGCTACTAAATAGTATGAGCTCATGAACTGTGTTTCCAGTCTTCATTCCCATCAGAGGAACACCATGTCAGGATAACAATGGTTGAATGGAAGAAGATAGTCTTATGAAATTGCTCTTTATAACTATAAAGCTAAAAGCTTAGCATGTGACCTAAAGTGTCCTGATTCTGTTTAGAAACACCAGGGTCATCCATTAGTCACCCAAACACAGGATTTAGGAGAGGAAAGGAGGTAAGGATGAATGGGACAGATGGGAGAGTTTTGTTCACTCTTTCACTTGAGGACATGAGGACACGTTTGATATTTGTTCCTGCACATTTTCTGCACGTTTATTCTGTAAATCAATCCAAGACAACAGGGGGATTTGGAATGTTCTCAATGTCATTTTGAATGGAGTGGTACAACCTAACTCCAATTTAAGGTGAGTTAAAGAACTGTTATAACTACAACAAGCTGGCCAATATATTGTCATGAGTTATACTGTGTAGTGGAGACTGGACAGGAGACCTGAGACCAAGACTTTAGTCATAATCCTCCAATTATTAACTGACAATGGTCAAGCAAAATGAAGCTACAAAGTAAGAAACAAATGCAAAAAATTAGATTTACTTCTTGCTATAAAAAAAATGATCAAGTCTAGTGGAAATAACATGTGTGTCTGCTTTTGAGGTGAAAACAATGTAACTTTAAACTTTGAGAAACCAGCTCCGAAACCAAAACAAAAAAACGATTTAAAGGTACATTTATTTATGTTTGGTTGATTTGGGGCAATGGAACAAGTTTAAGTCACAACATTTGAGAAAGGGTCTTCCTATGAATATGCTAAAATATTAGAAAATGATTTGATCTGATAACGAGCACCATTAGCATTTGGGTATCTGGACTCATGATGAATCTTAATCCAATTGTCTGTCTCCCTGTAATCAGGGTTGGGAGGGTTACTTTAAAGATGTATTCTGTACAATCTCTATAGTTGCCTGTAAAAATGTAAATCTTGTTTTTTTTTTTAATACTCTTTTTATTGTCATTTTTGTAAACATTAACCTGATTACCCTTTGGTATTTTTGGATTATCTCAATATCAAATTCAATGCAAATAAACAAAAGTTATAAAGCAATATCAATAAGATGTATTTCATATTTCATTCAGCTTATCCAGGCAGCAGTCTTTACACCACCAATGAAACACATGAGCACATACTACAGTTTAGAAAAGCAGAAATAAAATCTGAGTTGACAGAAAATGCTCCGTTTTAGTTTAATACACACAGTTCAGCTCACACACACTATTTTATGAACATATAGGTTCACCTGCTGAATTAAAAACAGAACAAATGAAGCAAAGAAAGTGAAACCATAAAGCAGATTCAGGCAGTATCAGGCACTGAAAGTATCAGCCTACAGAACAGTACAGCTTACAGAGAAGAGATAACATCTGATCCTTTTACAACAAACTCTATGCGCTTTTTGAGTTTTTAGTATTCTGATTATGTAATCCCTTTAAATGTAATCCATTACTCCCTAAGCCTGCTTGTAGCTCATTAGCTGCTAAATCATGTTTACCAACTAGTTGCCAGATGTCTGTTTGCTGTTATCATAGCGAGTTGGCTGAAATGGGGTTGCTGGGGTCAAAAGGTCATTCAAATATTTCATAAAGCTGGTTGGAAGATTGTATTTCATACATTATTCATCTCGAACCATTTATTTACTCCCAATATATTCCATCATTTCAGGTTTTGTATTCAAATCTCAGAACAGAGCCCATACTGTAACTACAGTGCTGATCTTCTCCAAACCATGGCCACCATCAGTGCTGACTTTGATGACTCCTTCAGCACTGAGGACAGCTATAGCTACATCTTCTTAGACCCAGAGACCCCCACAGCCAAAGGCTTGTACTTTCAGCGGGCTCAGCTGCTCTGTGGCCCCGCGGCATCATGCCTCTACCTGAACCCCTCCCAGAAGGCCCTCATCAACGTGGGGGGCATCCAGTACGCCTTCCCCTGGAGCACCCTGGAGGATTTCCCTGAGAGCCGCCTGAGTCGCCTGCGCTCCTGCACCACCCTGAGGGAGATAGCAAAGTTTTGTGATGACTACGACGAGATGCGACACGAGTTCTTCTTCGACCGTGACCCTTTGGCCTTTAGGGCCATCCTCAACTTCCTGGCCAAAGGGAAGTTGCGTCTGCTGCGGGAGGTCTGCAATGTGGCCCTGCACATTGAGCTGCTATACTGGGGCATCAACTTAGGACAGATGGAGGTCTGCTGCCGCCAACGGGTGATCCACTGCGTGGAAGACGTGGCCGAGCACGAGCGCAAGGAGGAGGAGTGGCGCGAGAGGCGGAGGGCGCTGAGGGCTTCTGTGGCTCAGGGCGGCCTGTTCAGCATGCTGGGAGAAGCCGTGGAGAACCCTCACTCAGGTGCAGCAGGGAAGGTGTTCGCCTTCCTGTCCATCTCCATGGTGGTGGTCACTGTGGTCAGCCTGTGCATGAGCTCCATGTCAGACCAGCAAGAGGAAGAAGCCATGGTACGTTTGAACCACAGTATTTCAGTCAATTTATAATGAGTGGGTTTATATTATCGTCAATTATAGATTCTAGTGAAAATACTTACAGCACAGATCTCTTTGCACACGTCAAAGTGAAGAAGAAGAAGAAGAAGAAGAAGAAGAAGAAGAAGAAGAAGAAGAAGAAGAAGAAGATGGACCTTTATTAATCGCCCGAGGGGGAAATTCAGTTTCCACTCTGTCGTACACACGCATGCGTTTTTATACAGGTCATACAGTACACACAGTAGCCTACACACTTTTTACAACATGCACATACATATACAAATACACATACAGTTATATGCACACATGCCAACCCAGTCTCACGGCATTTCGTGTTATAGTCACGAAATTAATGTAATCTATTGATTCGTGTTCACCAACACGATTTTAAAAGCAATGTATTTCTATTGGTAGTATGTTTCGTGCCTGCAACACGTCTTTTTGTCCGGTCGGGTCTTGGAAGACCGGAAGCTGTGTGGTTCATAAAAACATGTTCTTACTCAATATCTTACCCTAAGCCTAACCCTATCCCTTTTATTTTAAATTGTATAATGTCTGAGTTTTTTTGCCGTCAGTGAGGAAAAGAAATGGCTCAGAGCCTCAGAATACTGAAATCTGTATTTTATGTCATCTTTTTTTCCTTCTAATTTGTTATTATTTGGTGCAGGCACGAAACATACTACCAATATAAATACATTGCTTCTAAAATCGTTCTGTGTCAGAATACTTAAATCTGTATTTTTTTAAATGTCTTTTCCCTTCTAATTTGTTATTATTTACATTGCTTTTTCTGTGTGACACGAAAAAAATGGCGAAATCGTGTTGGTGAACACGAATCAATAGATTAATTTCGTGATAGACTGTGTTGCACATGCACATGCAGTTGAGAGGTCAGAGCAGAGGCAGCCAATCTAGCCGGCGCCATTGAGCAGTTGGGGGTTAGGTGCCTTGCTCAAGGGCAATTCGGCACTGTCAGTCCTGCTGTGTGTTTAGAGCCGTTAGCCATTAGCTGTTGTTAGCGCTATGCTAACGATTACAAACAGATACACACATGCACACTGGATGCATATTAGGATAAGAATGCACACAGGTGGAGAGGAAGAGCAGGAGAGGAGCAGTGTAGGCCTAAAGCAGCATGACTAAAAGATGCGTCAGGTTGTCATCAATCTAACAAAAGAAAACGTATTTTATACATATTATACAATTATTTCATCCAACTGAAAAGTTTGGGAGTTTTGAATGATGATTCTGATAAATCATGGTTGAATTACAGTTCTCATCAATAGGCCTACTCTAATTATAAATTGCTACAAAACAAATTATAATGAATTGATTGGTAACCTCACTCAAGTGGATGGTGTCATTAATTTGAACTACCTTTTCCATGCACACTTTTGCTACATGGCTTTTTGGGAGGAACTTATAATTATGCAATGTTATTTAGAAGAATCATTCAACTTTTTAGAATGTTAAAGCTCATACTGTATATGATAATTGTTCATAGCATGAAACAAGTCCCAGATAATATGGCTCATTAAAAAAATCCTTTTATCTTTTCAATGTCAGTACATTTACCGAAACTTCACCTAATTTCAAGGCCTGGAAAACTCACCCTGTATCTTGTTCTTTTGTTTTCTCCACAGGGTAAATGCTCCCAAAAGTGTCGCAACCTGTTTGTGGTGGAGTCTGTTTGTGTGGCTTGGTTCTCCATTGAGTTTCTCGTGAGATTTCTCCACACACAGAGCAAGCTTGAGTTTGCCCGCGGCCCTCTGAACATAATCGATGCTGTTGCCATCTTGCCCTTCTACGTCTCCCTGCTGGATCTCAGGTCTGGGCCTGTTGGGGACACCGAGGACGGTACAGGAAAGAGCACCCTGGATAAACTGGGTCTGATCCTGCGTGTGATGAGGGCCCTGCGGATCCTCTACATCATGAGACTGGCCCGCCACTCTCTGGGTCTGAAGACCTTGGGGCTGACTATCCAGCGCAGTGTGACGGACTTCGGCCTGCTGCTGCTCTTTGTGTGCGTGGCTGTGACTCTCTTCTCTCCACTCATACACCTGGCTGAGAGTGAGCTGGCCCCCCACGCCGCCAAGTCCCCCATGGTCAGCTTCAGCAGCATCCCAGCATCGTACTGGTGGTCCATCATCGCCGTCACCACGGTGGGGTACGGCGACATGGTGCCACGCAGCGTACCGGGCCAAGTGGTGGCACTGATCATCATCTTGTCAGGGATCCTCCTTCTGTCGTTCCCTTCCACTTCCATCTTCCTCAAGTTCCAACACACCTACAGGGAGATGAAGGAGGAGCACAACCGGCTGTGGAAGGAGGAGAGGGGCCACGAGCTGGCCAGCGAGGCGGAGGAGAGCATGAGAGAAAGAGACAGTTGGCCGGATAACTGTCCAGAAAGAGACATATTACCTCGTCTTATGACCTTGTAACGAAAGACATAACAAAGCAATCCTTCAGTGACATCAAATACTGTAGCCAAATGTATAAACCCTTGCTAAAACATCTGTGTAACATTATTGTGGTTAATAAGAGCAAATTCCTGCAGCTACACTCCAAAGTATTTTTATGAGAGGTCATTGTAGGAGCCAAAATGCTTATTTAGCCATTGTTTATTATTTGTGTTATTATAATTTTGTATTTACACCACACACATTTATTTGTAAGCTATAATTTCCAGCTATTGTCACATGTGTGTGGTTTTAGTGATTTAGTCCACCTGTTGTGTGCCGGGCTTGTTTGGAAAGACAGATGATTTGGTTCTTATCTGTTGACAGTATGGTCTCGCTTTATTTATTCTTTGTTTTCTTTATTAAATATCATGGAGTCAACTTTAGCACAGACTGCTTATTTGGAAAGTGTCACAGCAATGAGCCAAACTTAGCCTCTTAGCGACATCATTTATTGGAAGTTTATTAGCTACTGTCATCTTAAAATGGTGTCACTAAAAAGGAGTTTTGGGGGTTACCAAGAAAAGCAAGAATTACTGGGTTTGCGAAACAGGGAAGAATTTCATTCAATATGTCAAGCCAGCTGCAGTCTCCTTCTGAACAAAAAGTGAACTAAAACACTTAGGCATCACTTTTTAACAAAAGCAGTACAATTATTTATTAGGCAAGTTTGATTGTTAGCTGGATTTTGCCCAGTAGGGGGAAGAGGTGCTCTTATACAGCCATCATGCTCTGTTTGGAAACTTGTGGAGGTCAATTAAGGACAGAGAACATGTGTTTCCCTGCAGACTGCAGTTACAGTAAATCATACCATGGCTGTAATTGGAAAGGACCTGAAGAAACAGGACTGCAGGTAATGCCCACACAGAGGATATGCAGGCAGGGCCTCTGGAATATACAGAAAACACTGCAGCACTGAGGCCTGTCAAATAATTGACGAGAGGCCAGATAATGTTTTGGACACTGGATGTTTGCCTCTGAGGAAAGTCAGTGATTCCAGAAATACCCCAACAACGACTACCACTCAGACTTTAAAGAGGCCCCATTCTGCTTTTTGGTGTTTTCCCTTTCCTGTAGTAGGTTGTTGTGAAATGGGCCGCAAAGGCTAAAACCCTGTAGTTCCCTCCAAAGGGAGTAATAATGACATCACTATGTAACACTAGCGCTTCTATTGGCTAGCGCTACAGCACATTGTACGTGATAGGCTAAGGAGCAGGACCTCTCCAAGCAATTGACCAATCACAACAGAGCCGGCCAGCTAACCAATCAGAGCAGACTGGGCTCTGGTTTCAGACAGAGGGTGAAAAGAGGTGCTGCAGCACAGGCAGTATGAGAACGATAAAGAGCTTTTTGAACATTAAAGCGTGTAAGCATGTCATAGGAGAGGAACAACATACTGATATGAACCTGAAAACTAGTCTTCTTTAACCCAGCCTGCCCAGACACCTTCACTTTCACCCCGCTGAAGGCCTTGAACAACATAACTCAGTACAACGTACTTACTAAAGCTGCATAAGTATTATCTGTAAAATGTTGTTACAAATTTAAAAATTAGAAGTATTTGTTCTTTGTTACCTCTTCAAGCCTTGAATGATCAGTTTAAGTTAAAATATTTTAGAAAGGAAATATCTCTGGAGGAGCTGATAAACTCATAGACATCCGACATATGGCAAGAGAACCAACTTTACAGTTTGTGGAAGTAATACCACTAGTGTAATCTTACAAATAAATATTTTAAGCTTTTAAAACTCTTCAACAGAAATGATGAGGTGCGTGTGTGTGTGTGTGTGTGTGTGTGTGTGTGTGTGTGTGTGTGTGTGTGTGTGTGTGTGTATGTATGTGTGTGTGTGTGTGTGTGTGTGTGTGTGTGTGTGTGTGTGTGTGTGTGTGTGTGTGTGTGTGTGTATGTGTGTGTGTGTGTGTGTGTGTGTGTGTGTGTGTGTGTGTGTGTGTGTGTGTGTGTGTGTGTGTGTGTGTGATAACAGCAATACTACAAATGAGGAGAGAGAAGTCAAATTAGCAAACTTGGACAAAACTAATGCAAGACAGGAAGTGGACAACGTAGTAGAAGAAAAGGATTTGCGAACAGAATGTCAGTATACAGACATATCTTTAATTCATAAAGGGTTTACAATATTTTACAAATGACACAAACTGTATGTAAGGCAGGGTATAACATCTCTTTGGCCAACTTTCCTGTTGATATAGAAAAACAATAAAAAAAGAAGTCTGTGACGTCTTTTCTTCTCTGCATTCAAAGGTAGGTAGAAGGATTACATTTCCTTTTGGTTGATATTCCTCTTATGTACAGTTATGGCCTCTATGTACATTGTGCTTGTTTATCTGGCAAACAGGTTTAGCTGGGTAAAAACACACAAAAGCTCACACACACTTTCCTTCCACACACACACACTTCTTTGGTTTGCTGCTGGTGAAGATGGAGTGCAGCATCATTAGACACTCCGGCTCAAAATCGGACAAACGAAGACACTTATGGGCAAAACCTCCTTTACCGCTAGCACGTTAGCATACATGAACAAGCATGTGTAATGCATAAGAAAAACAATGTTAAAGTGCACATCAAATGTCTTTGGTTGAATAGTTATTGCCCTGTTTATTCCTCAAAGAGTGAGTCTGACTCTTTGTGTCCATGCAAGGCACATCTTTGGACGCTTCCAGTTATCTTTTGCTTTTTGGCTCTTTAGCTCTTCAGCTAATTAAGGCAAGCTGCTATATTTCAGAAGTCCAAAAGCTCTTTGCTGGGATAGAAAGAGATTGTGGGACGCAGGGTCTCTGCTCCCTAACATCACTGCTGAGAATCTTCAGTCCCATCAAAGCAGATTAAGTGCCCTTGTTGAAAATTCCCCTCATAAAGATGTCCCGCCTCCTGTCACTTCTCGTCACTAACAGAGCAGTCTACAGCTATGACGTCCTGTATTCCCGTGATTTTCTGTTCGTCCCCCGGGATCTCCAAGTCCGTGGGGATCTTCAGCTCGGCGGGGATCTTCTCTGCCGAGGAGCTGCGGCTGGACAGCTTCTCCATCTCGTCCTCCAGCTCCGAGATGCGCTCGGCGACGCAGTGAGCGGTGAGCCGGGCCTCCGGGTCGTGGTCCCAGCACTCCATGATGGTGGCACAGATCACCGCGATGCCCTGTAGAGAGAGCACCACAGCAGGGGTGTGAGACTGCATATTAAACAAAACGCCTTGAACTGTTTGTTGTGAAGGTTGCATGTTGTCGAACAACCTCAAGTTACTTTAATGCAGAATGGACACACACCAAAGCCTATACTAAAGTCAGCCGTGACACACACTTGTTGGCAGGGAAGAATCCTGGTGGTGAGTGTTTCCCTCATTCTCTTAAACTAAGATAGGCTACTGTAAGATAAGATAAGATAAAATAAGCTAAGATGAGATGAGATGTGACTCAGCGTGACTTTTGATGTTTATGTCTTCTTCTTCTTATATAATCTTTGTTTTTACTTGAGGACTTTGAACCGAGGACATCTCCTTGTAACTGAGTATTTGAGTAAAGGGTCTGAGTACTTCCTATGCCCGGTGCACAGATGGCTGCAGCTATATAAAGCTGTGACAGCTGCAGGAATAAAGTATTTAATCCTTTACTGTTAATCTAACATGTCCTGACGTCGGTGCGGGGGATGAGAACAGTCTTTTAGGATGTGGTGTATTTAAATTAAAATGACATCATTATAACGATGTTTCACTGATTTCTGCTTGATTCCATTTATCATCCTTCACACAGGCTTCAAAAGCACAAAGCAAGCCCAACGCTCAAAACTCAAATACTGCCTTGTAAAAAAGGATGAAGGATTTGATTATCCGATCAAAACATGTTTTATTTCTGGTCTCACAGTAAGTGCATTTCAGAATGTGGAAACTGCTCATTTGTATTTAATTCCTACATATATAAAGGCTTATCGACCACGCCCATCTCTTTCTCTAAGTCATTACAGACTCAAATACCGAACACACCCTAAACATGCATGATGGATCAGAATTTGTCTGTGGACAATACATAATAATCACTCTTTAAAAAATGTAATGAGTCATCTTAATTGAGTATAAAAGTAATGTAACCTGATTACTTTCTGTTACTTTTGGATGACCTCAATGTCAAATGCAATGCAAATAAATTCAAGAGAAAATAAATATCAATAAGATGTTTTTTAAGTTAAGTGTATTATGTAAGGCAACAGAACAATGTGACCTTATTTGACGATATGATATTTGACCTGCCTTTCATTACGCATATTCAGACAGAAGCAGAATTCAAATCGGAGCCAACTGAAAATGCTCTGTTTTGGTTAAGTACATAAAGTTAAGCTCACACACACTACATATAGGTTCACCTACTGAGTACACAAATAACAAATGAATCAAAGAAAGTGAAAACCATAAAGCAGATTGATCTGCATTGTGTGCTGCAGTCAGTGTGTGTGTGAGCAGTGTGTGTGTGAGCAGTGTGTGTGTGAGCAGTGTGTGTGTGAGCAGTGTGTGTGTGAGCAGTGTGTGTGTGAGCAGTGTGTGTGTGAGCAGTGTGTGTGTGAGCAGAGTGTGTGTGAGCAGAGAGTGTGTGAGCAGAGAGTGTGTGAGCAGAGAGTGTGTGAGCAGAGAGTGTGAGCAGAGTGTGTGAGCAGAGAGTGTGTGAGCAGAGTGTGTGAGCAGAGTGTGTGAGCAGAGAGTGTGTGAGCAGAGAGTGTGTGAGCAGAGAGTGTGTGAGCAGAGTGTGTGTGAGCAGAGAGTGTGTGAGCAGTGTGTGTGTGAGCAGTGTGTGTGTGAGCAGTGTGTGTGTGAGCAGTGTGTGTGTGAGCAGTGTGTGTGTGAGCAGTGTGTGTGTGAGCAGTGTGTGTGTGAGCAGTGTTTGTGTGAGCAGTGTGTGTGAGCAGTGTGTGTGTGAGCAGTGTGTGTGTGAGCAGTGTGTATGTGAGCAGTGTGTGTGTGAGCAGTGTGTCCCACCTGATGC